TCATCGTTGGTGAGTGCAAAGCGCTGGATGACATTCAATGTAGTACTCTCCATCTTTGTTTTGAAGAATGATTTGATGATTCTGAAGCTATGAGCTTCTAATCCTTTTCATGCTTCTTTAGACAGTATCTCCACCGAAGCTAATCTTTCCTGTCCAGCTCGAGTTCAATGTGTTTCACTTACTTCGAGTACCGCCAATTTGTATATCCTCATTTCTTCAGCTATTCAACTGGTCCTCCCAGTCTCCCACATTTTCCGAACATTCCAGACACCTATATTAATTGTTGCTCTGGTTATTAGAAGGCGAATCGTCCTCATGATTTACGAAGAAACTCCGTTTTCTCCACGAGGCGTCATAATACATCTAAGTGAAGATCCTTCAACTCCCAGGCGAAAGTTTAAAGCTTTTTCTGGTTAGCGTTGTTTTGTCAAGGTTCCTCTCCACGTGATGAGGTTGCCGACTTTGCGCCCAACCTTCTCCTTTATCCAGTCTTGGAACCGGAAGCTACCCTAGAAGGGCTGCAGGCTGACTGTTGCAATCTAGTTCCATGCTATAAACAATAGGTTGGAGAGATGCATGAGTGCTTTTTGAATGTAATGGAACCACAGCATAAACCCACTTGCATACGGTGCAACAGCTAGGCCGAGAGCGCATCTTCCCGAATTAAAAACTAGTGATTATTATACATGTAATGGACAAACCCTACTACAAAACTCAACATTTGTCGTACATAGTTTAAAGACAGGCACGTAAGATTACGCTAAACGCAAACGATAATAAATGAAAATGAGTAATTTACTTGCCAATATCCAAAATACCTACAAAAGGTCTTAATTTTAGTATCACGGGAATGTTCAACTGAATATTAAGTTTGCATGATCCCTTACTTAGGCCTGTTACTTCCAATGAAGCCTAGGCCACCGACCAGATTCCTCCAACACACTCTGTCCTGAAACTTACTTTCTAGTCCTATTCAAATTTTGTTAATTTTTCCCATGTCTGTCTTTATTTCTCGACGTAATGAGTTATTTGGTCTTCCACTCCTCCTTTGGTTTTTTCGAAGTCCAGAAGTTCTTCAGCTGTAAATATGCTGCTCTTGTTTGACTGATCCACGCCTTCACATCTGAATCAGATCCATCGTGTTTATCAATGATGCTGCCCAGATATGTAAAGGTTTTTACATCTTTCAAATGTTCTCCGTCAAGTTTGATTCTGTTGTTGCATGCTGTATTATATTAGGGAATCTTGCTTTTCCCTTTGTGTATGTTGAGATCTACTGATGCTACACTGGCGTTTGCGATAGAAGAGCCAGATCATCTGCGAAGTCTAGATCGTCTAACTGCATCCTAGCTGTTCACTGTATCCCATGTTTCCTTCAGATTTTAACGACTTCATGATCCATTCGATCACCAGAAGAAAGAGGAAAAGGTGATAGTAAGTAACCTTGCCTGACACCGCTCTTAACCTCGAATGAGTCTGTCAGCTGACCTCCATGCTTCATCGGGGCAATAAACCTAAAATAGCTACTGGCGGAGTTTATTATTGCATACAGTAAATTATCAGACCTAAATGCACTCCAGCCTGTTTCTAATCTGTTAATTTTTTCCTCAGTATGTGTCACCAATTGTACTATGCGCCGTATGTTAATTGACAGCTTAAATATTTTACGCTTGCGACTATTTCCTGTACGCCACAGTTTCAAAACACTGATAATTCGGTCGGGTTCATTGCTTAGTTTATTTTCAAACTACTATGGCTACTGTATCCCTCGAGCTGCCTGGCAGCTAGAAGTTCTCTCAGAGTTTCGGGCACTGTCAATTGTCGCAGCGGAGAAAACGATTTCCAAGATACTTTAATTGTCTGAGCGTTTGGTAAAGAAGTCGAGTGATCAAGGAAAAGACCGAAATCGGAATTTAGGTAGCAGATATATTGAGGATGGCAGTGAACGTAGTAGAAAATTTCTTTCTCTGCTTATAATGATATTAGTTTCTAATGAAAATGCACGCACAATAACTATCAAGGAAATTGTCGAAAGAGCAGCTATGTTCACATACCAGGACATCAAAGCACCCATTGGTATCGTGATAGACTTTCGATGGAGAACCCCGGGCCATTTGTTTTGCTGTGCGGCACTTTCATACTTAGAGGAAAGACGAAATTCAATCTGCTCAACAATCTCAAACTTCTCACCTTCTCTCTAAGCCCATCTTCAGACAAGTACAACTAGACTGCATTTCTCGGTTTACTTAGGATTTACAACACGTTTCTGGGGCAAGCAATACAGTTTCAGACGCTTTGTCTCGCGTAACTCCCTTGAACAGTTTCCAAGGAATCGACTCTCTTAGACTCGCTTAGCTTCTAAGAGTAATCACTGATCTTCAGCACGAGTTATTATCGACAACCCTGAAACTGTGGATCAAAAAGATGGGAACAGGTAAATAAACTCTATTATATCACACATTTACAGGGAGAGATCGTCCAATCATGCCGAAATATTATTGACTAAATGTCTTCAGTACGTTGCACAAGCTTTCTTATCCAGGTTTTGAAGTTACCACCAAGCTCATAGCAGGAAGATTTTCTGGCCTGGTATGAATTCAGACGTAAAGTGTGGGCACACACCCGTGTAAGCTGTCAGAAATCTTAGGTGGTAAGACACAATAAATGTCCCTTGGACTCTTCCGCAAGTACTGATGCTCCATTTTGATTTGATAGGATCCTTACCAGATTCAAATATATACTCTCACATTTTAACGTGTGTAGACCGTTTCTTATGTTGGCTAGAAGCAGTACCTACCAAGAAAATGGCTGCTGAAACAGTAACCCGACTCTTCGTCGAACGATGAGTGGCAAACGTCTACTGCCGTTCAACTTCCATTACAAAACGTGAACACCAGTTCGAATCCAGACTTTTCCGTCTTCCGGCAACACTGTTAGGAATTACACGCTTCCAAACAACTCACAAACGATCGGGTTGATAGAACAATTTCACCGACCGTTAATAGCTTCACTCTCTGCTACAAAAATATCACAATGAACTGACGCTCTTCCACTCGTGTTACTCGAAATTCACAATGCGGTGAAAGCTGGCTCTGGATAAACGGCAGTTCAACACGGTTACGGAACGACACTCCGGATCCTTCATCTTCCATAAATATGGACTAGAATTCCGACACTAGCAGGCTCACAAACGCCATACGTTCAACAAACCTGTTTCCACTCGACAATGGTCAACTGATGTTTTCGTACAGCCTGTTCTACAACGTAGTGCACACGTTTTTGTGAGTAGCGTCTCATTTCGATGACTTGTCAAAATAGCATACGAAGGCCTTCAGCTTTAACCTAGGTGCCATGTCATAAATAAGAACGGGACTAACGACAGCATCAACTTCTATCGTCTTAAAGCCGTGTATTTAGAAGGAGACCCTAATAATTTTGACCTTCCTCCAGTACATTTAAATGACAAAAGACCCACAATTATGGTACCCCTCCCGATAATCAACAGTCAGGAAGAACCTTGAGTGGTATATCACAACCAATCTATGACAACGTCTTCTGGAAGAAGGGTAAGGTTCCCGGAACATTTAAAAGATCACTGTGTGTAGGACAAAACATAACATTTTATTCCTTCTAGTTATTTTTTGCATCAATGTATAAAATAAAACAAACGAAGGACAAAATAAGCAAAGATGGAATAGAGTTGATGTTCACTCTGGGACTAGAAGCCAGCACTGTTCGATTCAAATGCCATCGCGTTATCAACTTAGCTACTGAGACCTGTTGAGTTTATCTTTGCTTTTATTGCTTGCAAATTAAGGCAATATCTAGGTAATACGCAGTATGCACATATGCCAATAAGAGACTGATCAATTTCAGTCCCAAACATCAATGGGAATATTCAAGTAAAACAAAACCAAGTGAACCAAGGACAAAACGTTTATTGTATATATATTCATACGTATTTGAATATGCGTATATATTTTTTTCAAAAAGATCATCGTGAGAAAATTTTTCCTATTCTATTTCATCTTACCAAAACACATTTATATTAGTTTATTTTCCATTTTCCCCCGTTTGTATGTCCTTCCTGACGTATAAGTGTATCTTGACATGCACTTACGATTCCTTTTTTTCTTTCCAGGACGGCTGGAAAAGATGAAAAGACCAATAAATTTTACGATAAATCGAAATTTCCATTTTTTTCCATTGTTATCATGTACCATATGGCCCCTTATATTAGGAAAAGATAGCCAGATGACGCTGAATATAGCAAGCCATCAGAAGAGTATTCACCAAAGACAATCTCATTAGGTTTAAACTTCTGTCAGGCCACGCATTCAGGTCATCACTACCGCACAAGGGGGGGGGGAATAAGCTGTAGCTGTAAAAAGTTCCCAAAATAAATTATTCTGCAAGTTTTCGACATTTGATACTGACAGCATTAGTTTTACTAGGCTAACCTAACTGAAAGCGCTTGGTCACGCATCTGCACCAGATCACGAGTGGGCACATCGTGCCATGCATTTCCTACAACCGTTTACCAGCTTCTATAAAACGCTTCTCAACATACCGACCGCCTTTCAATATAGCTTTGAATCTCTTCACTTCTGACTTCCGATTTACTTGGGTTGGCATACTTCGATTATGAAGGTGCTACTGGTGAAGGCGTTATCAAACTCTGAATACCTGTGGCATCTTTATACCCGAATGTTCAGTTATAATCTTCATCACAACGACAACATCGTAATTGGAAGTATTCGGGTTAATGTGCAACCACACTGTCCTAGAGTAAGCACACTTAATAGCACCAAAGAAAGTATTAAACTTCTCGAATTATTAACAAATCCTCTAGTATCCGTGCATCTAAACTAATAGAACATACATATTGTATGTAATGACCAACTTGAAACCGCACCCCAAGATCACGAAGCGAGGGCGAAGAAATTGATCAGTCTATAAATATTCGCCACAAAGATATTGTTTATTGAATTACTTTGTGTAAAACGTCGCGGTATGACCTCAGGCAGCAGGATGATGTTTGCGCTACATCGTCTTACTACATTATCTGCTTTCGGTGGATGTTTTCAAGCTTTTGATGGAGCCAGAAGTTTATCGTTAGGAATCCAAAACTCAAGCAAGATCAATTCTGTTAAGAGTTATCTGAAAAATATTGAGAAAAACGGTATGTTTTTAATGTAACTCACTACAGTGAATTTCAGAAATGATACTTAGTATCGAAAAGAAAGAATATGAAAATGGCAGAAAGTTCCTTGCTCAAATTATGGGTTATGACCCTGTCCATTTCACACCTGAGCAGGTCAATGAGGCTATTGAGTATCTGCTTCCGTCCTCGTTGTATGCTAAACGTGCACGTCCTGTCTTTAAAGTAAAGATACGTTTGTCTAATTTTGAAAAAATTGTAGGAACCACACCTAGTGTTTCCACCGCAAAAGCGTTAGTTATCAGTCTTTTAATGACACTCGTTTAGAATTGCAGTGTGATGTAAATGGCAGACCACTTAATAGCTACTTTTACACGACACACCAAAACTTCCACAAAATCATGAACGTAAGAATAAATCTCTGGTAACAATACCCTTAGGAAGCGATTTACAAACTGGAAGAAATAAAACTTCACTCCGATCAGTCTTATTTTAACAGGACGACTGTTAAACCCACATTGAAAGAAGTACAGTAGGTTTTAGATGCTTTTCTGATTATTGAGTCACAATATGTATACTTAGTGGAATAGTTTCACACCTATCTAGATTTTTCTCTGACTGTCTTCAGCATCATTGAATGTACTCTCACTCATTTTTATAATTTGATTTTCAGATATTAAGGTTTGAGACCATCTGAGCCCTTTATTTCTTCCAGTAATGTACTTTTTTGTAGTCGTTTGGGGTATGTCACCAACAGGTGTTAAAACAACTTGTATATAATTCTGTGCAATGCGTACGTAACATAATGAGCTTTTTATCTTTTCCAGTGCCTATTATTTGAGCCGACATGGCTTCCTACTTAAGTGACGAAGTTGATGTAACAGAATTTGATGCGGCGTTACAGTGAAAATGAATTTAGGAATTCACGACGCTCAGTCGTAAAGTCTCGAATTACAACGCTTTGCTTTCGGCTTACAATTATAAACGTGGAGGAAAGTTTAAAGACGTACTACGCGTACGTTTTCACTAGTCAAGTCCAGTCGCTTGAACACAGCAAGTTCTTGGCTAAGTCAATCGCTTAATAATGTCAAATGGTTCTAGAAGAAGCTTCTACCCAACGGGCTTCCGTATCTAGTGGCGGTTGATCACCGATGCCTCCAGGCATGAACCTAAGAATATTTAACGAAAAATAGAGAAATAATCGGTAAATTATAGTGAGATACTGTCCTTAGTCAGTCAGTCAGCTACAACGTAGGACCAAGCACATGTGTGTATCGGTCCAGGTTGCCATAGCGCATCAGCACACAAGATGGACGCCGGATTCATAGCAGTGGTTAGGTCAAAGGTGGTAATATATAAGAGAAAGATTGCATATAGAGATATAGTACAAGAAGAAAAAACTGGTTCGTAGAAAAAAGGCATGAAGCGATTTTTATCTCTTAGTTTAAGGGAAAACGGAGAGTGTATGCACCGACGCCATTGTGATCGATTCTGAACCATGTCACCCAGAGTCTCCAACCATCGGTTACAATAGTCACGTGGACCCCAACCAAGTAGTCTGCATCTACCAACATGGCTCAGACTAGAAGTTAGTGTCTTCAAGCACTGATGCCACGTTTTGGTTTGGCCGCCCCTAACTTTCTTCCAACCATCCCCTACCCCGGTTAGCATTGCACGTCGTGGTAATCGGTATTCAGGCATACGTAACACATGGCCCAACCATCTCAGTCGATGAAGATTCATAACCTCATCAACTAGTTTACCATCATTTCCTAATACCTTGCGTCTAACCTCACTATTACTTACCCGGTGATCCAAGCAGATGCCAGCAATATTTCTGAGGCATCTGTGGTCAAATCCTAGTAGCTTACGCGTATCTTCTACTCTTAGTGGCCATGTTTCGCTGCCGTAAATTAAAACAGGACGGACTGCTGCGCAGTATACTCGTCCTTTTATTGATAGACGGATATCTCGCCTTCGCCATAGGTGACGTAAGTTGGCAAAAGCCAAGCGAGCTTTTTGAATCCGTGCTGAGATTTCGTCACACACCAACCCATTAGGGCTGATCAGACTTCCAGGATAAGTTGTCAACGCGTTCGACTACTTCACTCCCTATCCTCGACTAGTAGTGTTCGAGTAAAGAGCCTTTACAAGGTTTATGTACTTCTGTGGTACGCCTTTCGATGACAGACACTGCCACAGAATCTCGCGGTCTACCGAGTCAAATGCTGCTTTTAAGTCAAGAAAGACCACCATTGTCGAACGCCGATAAGTATGCCTGTGTTCTAAAACCTGACGAATGGCGACCAGGTCTGAAGCCAGCTTGATTCTCTCGTGTTTGCAGTTCACGAGTCTTAGTTAGGCGTCTGATAATTATCGAGGCTAGTATTTTAGATATTATATTAGTTCACCTAATCCCTCTATGGTTGTCACAGTATGATTTTGACCCTTTCTTATATACTGGGACGATAAGTGTTTGTAACCAGTTAGATGGGATATCGTCTGACTCCCAAATCTTAGCTAAAATATTAGTCAACCTAATCGCTAAAATTGGACCACCATCCTTAAAGACTTCTGGAGCCAGTCCATCTGGACCAGCTGCCCTTCCTCGTTTCAGATTAACTATAGCATTTTGGACTTCAACAAGAGTTGGGGGACCTACTTCAATGTTCCATTCACACTGTCTGGGAATGGAGGGTAGTTGTAGAGTAGCTGAAGGCCAGTTGAAGTGTTCTCTGAAATGTTCCGCCCATCGTTCTAAACGTCTGGACTGGGAGCAGATGAGTGTCGTCTTTTTCCGAAATAATCTCACTTACACTTGACTTATTAGTTCCAGTTTCTTTTACTAGTCTGTAAAGCTGTCTTGTGGTCCCTATAGTCGCCGCCTTTTCCATCTCTTTTGCTTTCATTACCCACCACTGCTCACGGTCGTTTCTTAGACTTTTTCTTAACCTAGATCTGATTTGTTTTCGCTCTTCATAGTGCTCAGAGCCTAATGGGACGAGTTTGCGAGAATCCATCAGTGTGATAGACTTTGAAGAAATCCACTGGTTCTTTGTAACTCTGTGGTTTAAGTCACTAATAGACGTCACTGCTGTTTCCGCAGCTGATTGTATGCCTTTCCGAGCAACATCTGGGTCAGCCTCGTTTCCAGTGCTACCTAACTGTGACCTCAGTTGTTCCTGGAACCTACTTTTGGTTTTCTCGTTACTCAAATCAGTTCTAATGGGTCTTTTCAATGTGGCTTTTTTGCGTCCAGTGAGGCGCAAGCAGATGTGTGCCCGTATTAGGGCGTGGTCGGAGTCCAAGCAGGTACTCCAGAATGAGCGACAATCTTCTACCGACCCTCTCCAACGATGACTGATGGCAATATGGTCTATTTGAGTCCATCGTTGGTTTGGTGTAGGGGGTCGCCATGTTAGACGATGTCTCTCCTTATGCTTAAAATTTGTTTGCTAAAAATAAACGATTGTCTGAGCACAGTTGCAGCAGACGATCACCATTATCTGTTCGCTGTGCCGGAATGTTAAAATATCCACCTAAATGCCTTTCTGTTTGGTTTAAGCTACCTATCTGAGCAGTGAGGTCACCTACTACGAGTACTATGTCTGAGCGTTTAGCTTTCTGAAGAATTTGTCAATATTTCTCTCGGAGAGTTCATCGTTTTCCAATCTTGTTGGGATGAGCTTTTACACCCAAATCAATTCGGTAAATGTTACTGAAATCCACTTATCTTTCCTAACTTTTGACATATATACCGTTAATGGTGTCGCTGGTGTCTGCATATCTTTCCAAGACTTTTCAGGACGAATAAGTGGTTGACTAATTGTTCCCTGCAACACTGACATAAGCATCTTCAAATTGACATCAGAAGGGTTTACCTGCTTCGGCTTTCCCTATCGAGTAAGATGGATAGAAATCAGTGCTCTCACTAGGACATGATCAGAGTCCAAATATGCACTCCAGTAGAAGCGGCAGTTTTCTACCGAATATGACTGACGGCGATATGATTTGTTTGTGCTAATCGTTATGTTGGAAGTCCGCAGGTTAGACAGTGTCTTTCTTTATACTTAAAATTCCTACTTACGGTGAATAATCTGTTGTCTGAGAGAAATTACAGCAGACAGTTACCGATAACTAACTGTTAGGCCGGGACGCCACAATACCCAAATGAGGTGGGAAGAAGATGAACACGAAAGCAAAATTAACGAGAAATATATGAGTAAACAGGGATGCAAATAAATAATAATTTGCTTACAGACAAGCTAATAATAGTGAGTATCTAATTTATACTGTGACAGATTTTTAAGCTGACAGTAATTCTCCAAATACCAAATCCTATGATTTTGAGAATTATTATCGGAAAATCGACATTTCCATACACACTTCGAACATACAGATAATGACTTCATAAAATGATGATCGGTTTACCTACTGCACTTCGTTACTTAAGCTTATAACCCTTCGTGAGAGCATACATCACCAACCAGTATTCTCCAATTAACTCTGTCCTGGGCAGTCCTTTGCAGTTCTTCCCGATCGCTATTCATTCTTCTGATGCCTGCCTCCAATTCCCAACGAAATGTGTTCCTTGGTCCTCTTCTTTCCGTTTTACCTCCAGGATTTTAAGTTAGGGCTAGCCTCGTGACGCAGTTTGATGATCCCCGTAATGTATGTCCTATCCATCTTCAGCATCTTTTCCCAATTTCCTCCTCAGCTGGAAGTTGGTTTGTTCTCTCCCATAGTAGGTTGTTGCTGATGGTATCCGGCCAACGAACATGGAGTAGCTTGTTCACAAATAACTGCGCTTTTTGGTGATGGTTATAGTAGTTCTCTAGATCTCAGCTCTGTACAGTAGATCTGTCTTGACGTTCGTAATGAATATTCTGACTTTGATATTGATTGACAGTTGTTTTGAGTTCTATATAATCTATAATTGCAGGAATTTATTATTTACTGAATTACTTGAATACACAAACATTGGTACAATAGGGCACCAAATATAAATGCGCCACACAATAACAATCAGGCCAGTAGTAGTTATCATTGAGTTGTGTGAAGGCTGACATACTGCCCGGGTGTCTAAACCGAAGCACGATTGTAGGAATGCTACCCGTGCTTTGCTAGGTCTTCCGAGTATTTCTAATCGTCAGCTCTAATGCTCCTGTACGCCCTCTTCTTTGTTTCTGTGTATCCAACCTGTGCTTTGACTTTCTTTGTTCTTGTTCTGTTGTTGTTAATTGCTGTCTTCTTGTTCTTCCTTTCTTGAATCCTGTCCAGGGTTTCCATAGAGATCCATTCCTTATGATGATGCTTCTTGCGACGCAGAACCTTCTGACATGTTGAAGTTAAAACTTACTTAGCCCCTTAACAGTTGTCCTCCATAACAGTTTCTTCGTTCAGTAGATCCTATAAGGCTTGGAGTCTGATGCTGAGAGTTATCTTGAATTCGTTGAGTTTGTCAGTATCTCAAAGGAAGGCTGTATTGAAACTTTATAATGCTGTTTCCCAAGTTTCCCGGTGTTTCTTTAG